ATCAATACAGTAAACGGTGTAAGAGGAAGAGGGTAAGTGCTTAGGGAAGTTTGCAAAAGGCTGTTTAAAATTGTAGTGGAGCGCACTCTCTGATGTGTTTTTGTAGGCCAAAACCTGGAACTAAGTTTGCGTTTTACAACTTCTGGTTCCATCACACTGAGGGTTGTTTGAATGGGTTTTGGGTTGAAATAAGGTCTGTGGTGAACACAAGCTCATGTTTACACATTTTATTCTACGGCATAAAATACATGAGTAAATACACAAGTGGTTAAATGGGACTAAATGGTTGTTGGGGACATTAAATGTCATCGTGCCAACTCATCTACTCACTAACTTAATGGCGGTGACATGTAGTTAGTTTATAGCCTAAGTTTAGCTTTCTACTTGTCACGACTGCTTAAGCTTTAAAATTCAGCTGTGTTCATGTGTGAAAAGTTTTATGATGAACCAAATGTGTAAGAATCAAGCTTTTGTTGGTAACCGTTTTTTCTTTTAGTAATCCAAAAGCCATTGGAAACATTCTATTTGGCTTTTGTCGAGGGAACCAGGGTGATGCAAACTCATGGGTTGGCCTAAAAAAATACAGTACATCATCACTGCAGCACTCTATTTCTTCTATACCTTTGTAAATATTTCTGAAGTTGAGAAAAAAGATAATTATGCTGTTTTTAATAAGTACAATAAATGACTCCAAGTCAATGGTTTCACATTGTAACATTTCAGATTCACTGTTATTCACAGTGCTTCATACCTGGTTTTGTTTAAAATCAAAGTTTATAATGTTGCAATTCTGAGCTGGTTTGATTTGGTTCAATTTAGAACTCCATTTCTATCTATTTAATCTATGGAGAAACTGAATGGGAAAAACTACTTCTAGAACCAAGATGAGATGAGAGAAGGGCCAAGATGAGCGAAAAGTTCAAACAAGACTGTGTAACACCTGGAAGAATCTCATCTTTGGTCAAATTTTTATATTGCATAGTAAAATTTAAGTTGGCTTTTTGTCCAATCCAATTTATTCTTCCTTCGATATCCTATTTATATCCGTTAGAAACAGGCATCACGTCCTCATGGTGCAGTAGAGCAGCCATATGGTGATCCTCCTCCAGAGCACTGGATCAGCTTCACCATTGGTTCTCTGGCCGTCGGGGAGGTGGACGTCTGTTCAACAACCGCAACCAAAAGCACAGATCAGCAGTGAGAATTACATTTGCATGCTGTACAGAGTGAAACATGTATGTTTACAGTAACTCAGCAGGCTCTGATAAGCTATACCAAGGTTTTCATTATGACCGTATATGCTGTGAATGTGGAGGGAGGGTTGGGGGTAGATTAAATATATCAAAATTTGTGAAACTGCTAGTTGTTACATAGAAACAGATTATTCTGAAAGAAAAGCTGATAAATATGAGCTGTGTGTTACTCATCAAGTCACATGCTGATAATAAAACAACACTGGACATTATTCAGATGTGGTCTTCCATGATGACGTAGGACTTCTTCTTTTCTTTTTTTGCTTCCACTAAGGAAACTTGCTCATGAGTCATATGTAAAAGGTCATCTTCACAGAGGAAGAAGCGGTAATGGTTCTATATATCCTGTTGAGACCCTCAAATGTGACTCATCATCTCATTACATGCTCCTGGCTCCAGCCCGATTGACATCACATTTATTTGAAACAGTATCCATGATTTATTAATTAGTGCATGCTAAAAATAATGACTTTCTGGTGGATGTTTAAGTATGCATCAGTGCACGATTTTCAGCTCAACTCCCTGCGCTATGACAATGTCTGTGGAGGATCCAACATTTTCAGTTGAAATACAGAGGAAGAAGCGGTAATGGTTCTATATATCCTGTTGAGACCCTCAAATGTGACTCATCATCTCATTACATGCTCCTGGCTCCAGCCCGATTGACATCACATTTATTTGAAACAGTATCCATGATTTATTAATTAGTGCATGCTAAAAATAATGACTTTCTGGTGGATGTTTAAGTATGCATCAGTGCACGATTTTCAGCTCAACTCAATGTCTGTGGAGGATCCAACATTTTCAGTTGAAAGGTGAGGGTAGTGAGACTAAACTAAGTGTTTAATTGTACCAGCCTAGAAACAGTAACTAATGGATTAGCTATTGGTTTAGCTTCTTGCTAACACTTCTATACATATTTATTAAGATGCAATTGTATGAGGAAATAACTCAAAAGTATGGACTTTCCCAGGTGTGGGAATCGTTTGAAACCTCACAATTCAATTCTTGGGGTAACGGCTCGATTCAAAACCATCAATGAGTTTACAATGAACACGAAAAATGTTTGAATAGTACTGCGTGGACGTATCACTGAACTTAAAAACCTTTGACTGGCCAATGAGTTCACACTTGTTTCAAAAACAACTGGAGAAGTTCGGAGCTGTTCCGAGGTACTCGCGTCAGTAGGGCCTATGAATCTGTACAGCGACAGCGTTCACATGGTCCAAGCTTTCAGAAAGTTCCCAGTTTAGAAGTTGTAATTTCGAGTTCTTCGAGCACGTGAACGCTTTGGCGTTGATAGTGTTGCCAACTTGCCACAGAAATGCAAGATTCCGAGTAGAATGTGTTGTCATCTCGAAATTTAATTACACATGGCGTGAACGTAGCTAAAAACTAGTTTTGAGTGGATGTGCCAACTTTTAAATACCTATGATTGGCCATTGCATTCACGTTCTCAACACTGATTACTATTTTCAACTCTTCAAAAACATTGAGATGAACAATGAGCAGTATTGAGTGGATGCCCAACTGACTTAATGCAGGAGTGTGCGTATACAGTGATGTGAAAAAGTGTTGGCCCCCTTCCTGATTTCTTTGCATGTTTGTCACATTTGAATGTTTCAGATCAAACTAATTTAAATATTAGTAAAAGAGAACACAAGATGCAGTTTTTAAATGAAGGTTTTTATTATTAAGGGAACACAAAATCCAAAACTACATGGCCCTGTGTGAAAAAGTGTTTGCCCCCTAAACCTAATAACTGGTTGGGCCACCCTTAGCAGCAACAACTGCAATCAAGTGTTTGCGATAACTTGCAATGAGTCTGTTACAGCGCTGTGGAGGAATTTTGGTCCACTCATCTATGCAGAATTGTTGTAATTCAGCCACATTGGAGGATTTTCGAGCATGAACCGCCTTTTTAAAGGTCATGCCACAGCATCTCAATAGGATTCAGGTCAGGACTTTGACTAGGCCACTCCAAAGTCTTCATTTTGTTTTTCTTCAGCCATTCAGAGGGGGACTTGCTGGTGTGTTTTGGATCATTGTCCTGCTGCAGAACCCAAGTTCACTTCAGCTTGAGGTCACGAACAGATGGCCGGACATTCTCCTTCAGGATGTTTTGGTAAACAGCAGAATTCATGATTCCATTTATCACAGCAAGTCTTCCAGGTCCTGAAGCTTGGGGTAATTTGTGTCGGCCAGCCACTCCTGGGAAGGTTCTCCACTGTTCCATGTTTTTGCCATTTGTGAATAATGGCTCTCACTGTGGTTCGCTGGAGTCCCAAAGCTTTAGAAATGGCTTTATAACCTTTTCCATAATAGATCTCAATTATTTTCTTTCTCATTTGTTCCTGAATTTCTTTGGATCTCGGCATGTTGTCTAGCTTTTGAGGATCTTTTGGTCTGCTTCACTTTGTCAGGCAGGTCCTATTTAAGAGATTTCTTGATTGCGAACAGGTGTGGCAGTAATCAGGCCTGGGTGTGGCTAGAGAAATTGAACTCAGGTGTAAACCAGTTTTAACAGGGGGGCAAACACTTCTTCACACAGGGCCATGTAGTTTTGGATTTTGTTTTCCCTTAATAATAAAAACCTTCATTTAAAAACGGCATGTTGTGTTTACTTGTGTTATCTTTGACTAATATTTAAATTTGTTTGATGATCTGAAACATTAAAGTGTGACAAACATGCAAAAAAAAAAAAAAATCAGGAAGGGGGCCAACACTTTTTCACCCCACTGTATATCAATGGATACCAAATTTACCTAGTACTTCCGGAAAACTTGTATTCTTATATTTTTAAAAATTTGACTTGGTCCCAAAGTTCTTGTGACGGTTTACAGTCAGCATGAGCCGTGCGCTCTCTAAATTGCCCAGGTGATTCCACTTTTTTGCTGACATTATTGCATTATCTAACATGTAGAAATTTTTTTTTTTTGTAATATGTAAATCTATTTGAATCAGTAGAAGAAATACCAGTTTGGAATATATAATAACTGGAAGCGACTGGAAGCCTCACAAATGGGTGCACCCGCTCTTAAGTTAAAAATAATGTTGATAGTACATATGGTAAATCCATAGTATGCATTTTTGTTTGTAGTTAACTCTTTCCTACTATATAGTAGGCTAAAACAGTATGTGAAAAGAGTAGTATGTTCAAATTCATAGCATTCATGAAGAGTACCCAGATGAATTTCTGAAGTGCACATCTGATGGACATGTGACAAACATAACAAATGTAGTACATCTGGATTTCATTTATACTACAGAATCCACCTGATCTCACAGAAAAATGCTACTTTTTTGCAAGGTGGTGATTTTGTATGATTTGAATTGTACAAAAACTTGTTTTTTGGGAAAAAGGTACGCATCAAGTTCCACCCCTAAACATAACCATCAAAGGGGCCCAAGTAGATCATACGAAAACATACAAATGAAATGAAATTCAAACAAATTAGCCACCAATTCGCCAAAATGTAAAATAGCTACAAATTGCTATGAGATTATGTTGCACATTCATACGTCATAATGTATCGAAAATACTTTTTTTAACAGCTACAAAGTAAGTACTCCTTCAAAAGAAGGGCATGTGGTTTCGGATGCAGTCACAGGTAAGTGAGACACCCTACATTTGATTTATTTCCATGAGAACACCAAGAGGAAGAGACGCATGCTGGGAGAGACATGTCATGGTAAATCAAGGAGAAAGCGAGGAGACGTGACACAAGGAAACACCGACCACCAGAGTGCCAGATCTTTATTATACACAACACCTTTTATTATCATCATCATCTCACTTCCAATTCTCATTGTGCATTTTGCTTCAAGTCCATTTTAATTGCTACACAGGCACTTGACAATTATTTGCTATTCCAAAAGCATAAAAAAAGAATGCTAAATATGTCCTCAGTCCCTCACTCCATACAAAAGGACACAGTTATTAGAGGGAGAGATGGGGATCGGGTCACCATGAGAAAAGACCAGAGGAAAAGTTATGGCTGCAGTGATCTGGGCTTTATCCAGTTCTTAACAGATGTTGAAGTAATTTAAAATCGGAAAGGATACAGCTGGATACGATTTTAATTCAAGCCTTGAACTGACTGAAGAAGGAGCAGCGGTTGCCATCACTGTAGCCATAACACACAGGAGTGATTTAAGAGCGTTCGGCCCTGATTTCTGCAGCTAATTTTTAAGTTTAATCTCAAGTCCGACTCCAAGCCTTCAATTATTTACAGACAAATTGGCGCTAAAATCAAAGACCCCCGCTCCCGCTTACACCAAAATCCCTATTCTTATCCTAAAGTTAATCAAGAAAACAACATTTGTCATGGCTCATTTCCTTGCACACACATCAATAAAAGCAAACGGCAAAGATTCTGCAATCAAAACAGGATCAACAGGAAACCAGCTGGACCGCTTTCACTCTGAATTCTGTTCAACCATTGTTTACGCAACTGACGGGGCACAAATCTGTCAATAGCGAAGAATAGCTGTCGTTCTACTCCGAAGCAAACAGTTTGTGAAAAATGCAAACACAAAGACAAATGCCCAGGTTATAAATAATACACTCAGAAATACGCCTTAGTACATTTACTATGATATCTACATTAAAGGTTCACCGTTTTTTTGCGTTCAGAAAGTTCCCTGTGTTTTTGTAGGCGAGAACGGACTGGTTCCATAAAGCAAACGCTCCACAATGCCAAATACACCTGCATGTACCATGTTCAGTGACTTGTGTTTGAGTGCATTCCCACTTCCTGTTGTTCTTCCCGCTCATAATCGCTCCCCTGACCCTCACCATCCCTGAATGCGAAAATAAAAGCGCCCCATAAGGCCTTGCCAATTAATTTAAGTTACAACAATCAGAACGCTAAGCTAGCGTAAACTGTTACCAGATTTGGAGTCGGATGTTACCTGAGCTCTGACGGGTCGGCCCGTCACGAGTGGTTACCATGCTTTCCAGGATTATATTCATATACACAAAATATTATTTATATAAACAGATCATTACAGAGATTTGCATACAAATTGCACCTCCTCCTTCTCTGACTACCTAAGAAATTCCCATCACTAGAAAACCGGAAGTGCTTTTCAAGAACCAAATTTCCCGGCCAACAGAAAGAGGATGTTGCCTGCTAACACCAAACATGAGCATCAACATCTAGGTTTTTGAATTATGAACTTGAATGTTTGCATTTCTGATTGGTTAGCTGCTACGGAGTCATAATTAACAGTCTCTTGGTACTAAGTGCCGTTTTGAAGGGAATCAAACATAACAAACGGCCAATTGAACATGAAAAACAGAAATCAGATCAAAATCAATCCCACATAGCAATAATAACAGCGGTCATGGTGTCTTATTTCAGCATATCAAGTTAGAGATTCAAGAAAACACAGAATGAAAACAAAACACATGAAGTGCGTCTAAAACAAGAAAGAATCTTCAACCACCCTTAAGTTACCCAAGAACAGTACACATCTTATCCCACATTAAACCACTAGTCAGAGAGGAGGCTTCATGAGTCTAATGTTGGTTTGTCTACACAAGTTGAGTAGGATACCCCCTGGTGGTCACCTGACCTATGTGAGTGATGAAATGACTGAAAGTTGGAGGCCACTACACCCTTTAGTTCACTCTATAGTTTAACAAAATAATAGCAACAATAATTTTATTTGAATATTTATGTGCTTAATTTAGACCTCTGGGCTTTAAAAGTAAGGATGTGATTAGCAGCGCTGATCAGAGGACAGTTTGAGTGGATTATTTAGGTTTACTGGTCAGGCTGTATGTGTAGACACACGTGCACATGTTTCAGTGCAGTTCTCCAGCCCTTCCTTTCTCTCTCTCTCTTTCTTTCTTTCTGTCAGCCTATGATGGCCAGCGCACGGGTCTAGTCTAGAAGGGAGGGCTCGGTGGGGCGGATAATGGTGGGCCGGTTGGGAGCGCCAGGGGGTCTTCTGCTGCAGGAGGAGAAAAGAGTGAGAAACAGAGGTGAGACATACCCACAACCATAGGGAAATGATGGAGGAGAAGGGAGAAGGGAGTAGACAAGATGTGATGAGATGAGAAAAGAAAAGATGAAAAAGAGAAGAGATGAGACTAGAAGACTTGAAAAGATACAAGATGAGGAGGGAATGAGACTAGATGAGACGAGATCAGAAGAGAAAAGAAGAGGTGAGACTACATGAGAGATGTGACTAGATGAGATGAGAAAAGACAAAAGGAGAGATGACTAGATGAGACTAGAAGAGATGAAAAGAGATGAGATGAGGAGAGACAAGAATTGATGAGACGAGATGACAAGAGACAAAATATGAGCAGAGACAAGACTAGATAAGACCACGTAAGAGACGAGAAAAGACAAGAGCTGAACAGAGACGAGACTAGATGAGACTACATGAGACTAGATGAGATGAGAAAAGACAAAAGGAGAAGTGATGAGGCAAGAAGAGTTGACTAGATGAGACTACATGAGACTAGATGAGATGAGAAAAGACAAAAGGAGAAGTGATGAGGCAAGAAGAGTTGACTAGATGAGACTAGAAGAGAGGAAAAGAGACAAGATGAGGAGAGACAAGAATTGACGAGACAAAATGACAAGAGACAAAAGATGAGCAGAGACAAGACTTAATGAGACCAGTGGCTGGCTGCATTAGCAGCTTAGCCTAGTCTTAAAAAAATAGCCATCTATTTTTTTCCCTCAACACTGGTCATAACTTTTTAAAGTCAGTTGCAAAAAGGTAGACTGGTCTAATTTTAATCCGAAAAGTAAAACAGATTACCCCTTTTGCTGACTGCTAGTTGAACAGAGACGAGACTAGATGAGACTACATGAGACTAGATGAGATGAGAAAAGACAAAAGGAGAAGTGATGAGGCAAGAAGAGTTGACTAGATGAGACTAGAAGACATGAAAAGAGACAAGATGAGGAGAGACAAGAATTGATTAGACAAGATGACAAGAGACAAAAGATGAGCAGAGACAAGACTTAATGAGACCAGTGGCTGGTTGCATTAACAGCTTAGCCTAGTCTTAAAAAAATAGCCATCTATTTTTTTCCCCCTCAACACTCGTCATAACTTTTTAAAGTCAGTTGCAAAAAGATAAACTGGTCTAATTTTAATCCGAAAAGTAAGACAGATTGCCCCTTTTGCTAACTGCTAGTTGGTCAAACTAGTTCTCAAGACACAACATAGCGGCTATGTTTATGCAACTGACCCCAGATGAGATGAGACAAAAGACGAGGAGAGACAATACTTAATGAGACTAGATGAGATGAGACAAAAGATGAGGAGACAAGACTATATACGACCACATAAGAGATGAGACTAGATGAGAAGAAATAAGAAAAGACACAAGGAGAAGAGATGAGACTACCTGAGATTAGACGAGAAGAGATGAGAAAAGACAATTGAGACAACCTAAGAGGAGATGAGACAAGATGACAAGAGACAAAAGATGAGGAGGGACAAAATGTAATGAGACTAGATGAGATGAGGTGAAGAGACAAAAGATGAGGAGACAAGACTAAATAAGAACATGTAAGAGACAAGACTAGATGCGAAGAGATGAGAAAAGACAAGAGCTGAGCAGAGACGAGACTAGATTAGAGGACATGAGACTAGATGAGATAAGACAAAAGGAGAAGTGATGAGGCAAGAAGAGTTGACTAGATGAGACTAGAAGACATGAAAAGAGACAAGATGAGGAGAGACAAGAATTGATTAGACAAGATGACAAGAGACAAAAGATGAGCAGAGACAAGACTTAATGAGACCAGTGGCTGGCTGCATTAGCAGCTTAGCCTAGTCTTAAAAAAATAGCCATCTCAAATAATAAATAATAAAAATAACCATCCCTCAACACTGGTCATAACTTTTTAAAGTCAGTTGCAAAAAGGTAGACTGGTCTAATTTTAATCCGAAAAGTAAAACAGATTACCCCTTTTGCTGACTGCTAGATGGTCAAACTAGTTCTCAAGACACTTAACATAGCGGCTATGTTTATGCAACTGACCCCAGATGAGATGAGACAGGATGAGAAGAGACAAAAGACGAGGAGAGACAATACTTAATGAGACTAGATGAGATGAGACAAAAGATGAGGAGACAAGACTAGATACGACCACATAAGAGATGAGACTAGATGAGAAGAAATAAGAAAAGACACGAGGAGAAGAGATGAGGCAAGAAGAGTTGACTAGATGAGACTAGAAGAGATGAAAAGAGACAAGATGAGGAGAGACGAGACTAGATGAGACTACCTGAGATGAGATGAGACTAGGTGAGATGAGAAAAGACAAAAGGAGAAGTGATTAGGCAAGAAGACGTGACTAGATAGATGAGAGGGGAAAAGAAGAGATCAAAGAGAAAAGATGAGACAAGAAGAGGTGACTAGATGAGACTAGAAACGAGAAGTTAGGTGAGACTGTCAGACGAAAAGTGGCTAGATGAGGCCACACGAAAGCAGAAGAGAAGGCTAGAAAAGAGAGTCAATTTGAAGAAACAAGATAAGAATGGACAGGAAGAGACAAGACAAAAAAAGCTAGATGAGACTAAATGAGAAAAGAGATGAAGAGGCAAGAAGAAAAGAAACAAGATGGCATTAAAAGAGACAAGGCAGAAAGGACTGAAAGAGATGAGTGCAGAACAGATGAGATAAGAAAATACCAGATGAGACAAAGTGAGAAAGCACAATAAGAGATAAGAAAAAAAGAGATAAGATTAGAATAGAAAAGAGACGAGAATAGAAGTGATGAGGAGAGACAAGTCTAGATGAGAACAGATATGAAGAGATGAAAAGATGACGCTAGATGAGTAGAGGGAAAAAGAAGAAAGGAAGAGATGAGAGGAGATCAAAACAGGAAAATAATATCACTGGAAAGATTAGAAAATATGCTGAGAAGGAAATTAGGTAGAACTTGTTTCTTATTAATAATATTAGTAGTAGTATGTGACAGGAGAAAATATCTGCATGCAGCTGCTAGTGAGAGAAGAATAAGAGCTGAAGAGACAGTACATCAGTCAAACCTTGTTCAAATGTTGTTGTTGGTTTTTTTCCAAAAACGTTCACTCCTCTCAGCTTCAGACACAAGATGCTCGTTCTCACAGGCACAGCGAGTCTACATATCTTCATGGAGGTGACAGATGGTTAAGTGTCTTACCTGGGGATACCCGGAGGGATGCGGGCAGGGCGGGAGGGGATCTGTGGAGGCGCACTGAAAGGATCCAGGTTGCTGTTGCTGAAGGCATTAATGGGCTGGCCTGGGCGAGAGGGAATGGGTGGAGCTGCAAAGGAGGGGGTGGGGTTAAGAGGG